ACTCCAAATCGCATAGCTTTTCTCCAGCTGTCCATTCAATACCTACGTTTTGGAGTTCCCTTAGTGCGCTCTCCAGTATTTCGTCTCCGAAGAAATTGAACAGGATCGGCGAAAAAGGGCACCATTGACGAATGCCACTGCTGGTGACGAACAGCCTACTCAGTTCGTTGTAGACCTTACACGACTACAGGTATGTGAGTACAGTGACCTCAGTAGGCTAACGTACTTCTGGCGCATTCCTTTTCGAAGAAGGGAGCCCATCAGAGCTTCGCGGTCAACTGAGTCAAAGGTTCCTTTCAGGTCAAGGAACACTGCGATCGTTGGCCAACGGTGGGTATGACGCAGCTCAAGGATCTGACGCAACGTAAAAATCTGATCAATACATCCACGGCCAGGCCGGAATCCGGCTAGTTGTTCACGGATGTTGATCTCTCTTAAAAGCGTCAGACGTCGAAGTATAACCGAAGCTAGCACTTTGGTGACGACCGGAATCAAACTGATCCCGCGGTGGTTTTCGCAATCGTTGCGGGATCCTTTCTTAAAAATGGGAACGATCAGTGATTCGCCCCAAGATGATGAAATGCGCTCTTGCATCCAAATGTTGCGCAGCAGGGTAGTAATAGAGGTTACGAGGTTATCACCTCCCATCTTGAAAAGAGTGAGAGCGAGCTCATCAGGTCCTGCTGCCTTTCCTCGCTTCAGAGCTTGAATGCAAGACCGAACTTCCGCTTCCGTTGGAGGATCGCATGACACTGCCCACGGAGCTTCAGTCGGAGATTAAGCAGCCTGGTTAGCACTAGGCCAGCTGAACTGTTCGCTGAAGTATTCTGCCCAGCGACCGAGTCGTTGATCCCTATTGTGAATAGTTCGTCCCCTCTTATCACAGACTGTTTCACTAACTGGGGTTCGCCAACCTCCCGTATTGCTTATCACTCGGGACAGTCTTTGACTATTCCCTAATGCAGCTGCTACTTCCATTTCACTAGCTATTGTTGCCCACCAGTTATCACGGTCCTTCTTGAGGCTCTTCGTGAGCCGACTTTGTAGCTGCCGCCTAACTCTATTCTGATCTTGGCAGGTCAGGATTTGCCGTTTTTACTCCATAAAGGCTACTGACTTCTGAGATATCCAATACCTCCGACGGGTTTGAGGCTCAGACCCACAAGCAACATTTGCTGATACGATGAACAAACACCTTTTAGTGTTACTTCCATTCTGGACACTGATTGAACCCTGGAGACACACTGTACATAAACGACTGTTGACGGGGATCCAATCGCTAAGAGAAGACTCCACTCTATTATTCAGTACAATATCTACCCCGCGCTGACCTATTGAACGAGCTTCATCGTCGTCTGATGTGCGAAGAACGTATCTCGTCGGAATATCTGGCACGCCCAAGTGGCTTAGAGTAGTAGG